GCCTGTATGCCTCAGCCTCGGGCATTTCTTGCGACACTATATCAGGTAGAAGTCAGTTTTGCCGGTTATTCCCACCGGGACTTTTATTCTTGGTCGCTTGAACCTTGTGTAGCTAGCGCACTGGTGTGGAGATATGTAGAAAACATTTTACATTTTTAAGTGAGGTTCTTCGCAGACAGTTCTCAAATCAGATAGTCGTCCACATGCCCGGAAAAGTACATTTTGCCACACAAACACTAGTAAGATAATATCTATAAGCAGCTGACGATTCACCAGCTACAGTGATCATCATATAAAAGCTTAAACCGATATACCATCTAATTTTGAACAACCTATCATATAAGGAGCAACATCAACACTAGGCTTCCTTTGTTGCTCTGTGCTTACTTCGTGGCAGCATTGAAATACGGCAATGGGAATACATGCTTTCTTTTCTTTGTAGTATCAGAGAACGACGAGGCAACAATTTCGAAGTACGTACCTAAGAATCGCTTCTATAAACTCTTCTTTAGGCCTCCAAAATGCGTGCATCACTCTTTATTTGTAAACAGTTTGATGTATATAACATCCGTGGTTAGATGGTCCATACGCATGCTCTTCGTCCGCTTGTTTACTCCAGCCTAAGTAGTTGGATAAGGTGACTAAAGACGTGACGCATAGCTGCGGTTTTCACTCAATACCTACATACCATCCTGACGCTGTCACCGACGTGATTGATCATCGGAGTATGTTGCAATCACCTGCTACGTTCTTTCCTTCTTCACTGTCTTGCTCCAACACAACTTGTTTGTTGTGTCCCCAGGCGTTCGACTTCTTAGATTGCGCCCCACGAGTCAAAAAGACAACGCACCGAACAGGAGGTATATTTGCGGAACCCTATACGGGCCGGTGTGGGTATGAAAACACTCTAATTCCAGTTCCAATCACGGCTGAAGGCTAATTTGAATTTATCGATCTCAAAGAACCACGGGACGTGTGAGGGGTATCTAACCAGTGGTAGTAACACATGTTTTACAACACAGAAAAACTAGTCTACAGTCATGAACAGTTACACAAGTATACCTGTGTTTTTCTTTCACCTCCAACATTGTTATCTGATCCAATCCGTAATCCTAGGTTATGTGCCAAAAAGCATAGCTAGCCACTATTTCCACCCGATCTTTCGCCCATTGAATAGACTGACCATCATCATTATCGATACTACACTCAAATGCTTTGGGATAACCTAACGACAAAGTGTTCTACAGCTCCGAAGCTATTTCTCATCCGGAACTCCTTCATCCTCAAGTATTCCGGACTTCGCCGTTCAACATCCGTTAAATGGCTTGGAGTCACCTACGTCCCTTTTCTCTCTGAAACCCCTACTGCGATCCTGCCACTACTGACTCGTATTCATCATGGTAACTCTTGACTGTGCATCTATGCGTGAAGGAATTGATCTCCAGACCTCATATCTCTGTGCGCATTGTAGTTTATTACCATTAGCTGAATCTTTCTTAACTCAATGCATAGCTCTTCCGTACACCTGATTTTGTTCGCCTGTTTACGGACAGTCCTAATGGGCTATTGTGACTAAACGTTCCAGTGAACTGCAGTATATCGTTCTCTTCTCATTTGATGCTTCTGTTTACCGCAACATATCATCGCCTTGTATAACTGAGTGTAACCCGCTGCGCGCCCTACGCATGGCACCATAGTACTTGTAGTTCCGCTCGCCCGTTGTATTGGTCCAACTTCTCTGTTCTCATATTACTAGAAAACGGCTACGCCTTCTATCTTCCGTTCTAGTACATTGCGATCTGCACTCGTGCGGCCGTTGTAGTTCCATTACATAACATGAGGAATAGTTTCAGTGCACAATGGGCATCAACTTTTCCCAGGTTGTAATGCATACAACACAAAATATTCTTATTGCGTGGCAGTAAGTCTGTCCTTGGTGGTGTTCCCTGGATTACACACTCCCAGCTCTAAGGTCTGAAAATATTCCAGGGATTCTGTTGCGGTCGGACGATTTACTCATTCGAATGAGAGATGCCATGGCAACGAGACTGGACCTTAACGTGCTGCGACGGTTCGCGTACCACTTCGACCCACTGAACTTTACTGGGTCGCGCCCCAGGCCCCTTTAAAGCTATCCCCGTCAGGTTGGTCAATGGTTAGACAGACTCAATTTCCTCCAAGTTTGGCGTTGTAAATGGGATGAAGTCCATTAATAAGAAAACAAAACATCGGCACTCCTGCGCTGTCCTGCGGATAAGCGTTTGGGATAAACGTTTTGGTTGAGGACCCTAATCATTCGCTTGTCTAGGTCTGGACGCCTTGGAAGTATGTAAATCTGTTGTAACGCAGCCCGTGCCTCTGATCTCTGCGCCGCCAACCCAGCCGGAGAAAGAAACAGAAGACAGAGACTTGCTAGATTGAAGTGTATTTAGGAGCCGAGGGTGGTTGACTTTACAGACCAAATGCACCCAATTCCACTTTCAGTTACTGGGCTGATTCACATCACTTGTCTGGACAGATTCAAACCTGGTAGCAGCCTCCACTATCTGGCTGTAATCATGATCACGTCCGAAGCCATAGCAACCCGTGTGACGACGATGAACTGGGTGAGTCAGTTGACAGCGAGATCTGCCGCAGGCCCAAGACTTGTCTCGAAATAGTGTCGCGCTGTTCTTCAGTTCTGGTCGCTTTTAACTTCCATCCAGACCCCCATTACAAACCTTCCGTTTATAATTGCTAGCAGCCAAAATGCTACCGTCGGTCTACTATCTGCAAGTATCTTCGAGCCACGCTCATTCAACGCAAATCGCCAAAACTTCATCATAAGACCATACTATTTCGTTTCCCTGGCGGAGTTCAATGTTCGTACGTTGGACACAGTAGGTATTGACGTGTTTTGCGCGTCTGAAATCAGGATCAATTGCCTTCAAGGGGTCGTTGCAATAATTGAACCGGGTTTGTTTGGTAGTACGTATCCTAAGAAGTTGATGCGGCAATCACTGGTCAAGTGGGGGTAGGCATCGTTCTCAACCCCAAGCCAGAGTCGTCGTTGTTTGGTTGGATTCTCGGGATCAGCCATTTGTCTGCAGCCCGTGTAACACTAACTAAGGTTGTTTTATGAAGTAGTATTAGATGCTCGTGGTTTCCGCTTATGCTGCAAAGAATGCTTTTCATGACGAATTTAACACGTTGCTTCACAGTGTTATCAGTTCAGACATCGTTGCTGTTGCAAGTAATGTGAAATGAAAGTTGTCGCCAATGATGTGGCTGATGAACAACAGAGGTAGTAAAAGGCCTGGAAAACCGCTTTGGATAATGCCACTTGATACCGGAATGCAACAAAAAATAACGATCTCAATCCTGACTACTTGGAATCTGCCATCTATATAGTATGAAAATCAGGACAGTAACGAGACAAGTGTATCAAACGATTCAGATGTAACCAGCAGTCCATGCTGAGATACCTGGTCAAAGGCCTTTAACATATCGAGAAGTACAATCACAAATGATTCACAATAGTATTCTAATAGCTTCAGGTAACACAACTGGTAAGTAGAAATCATAATGAAGCCATAACGCGCCGGGATGATAATATTACTTAGAAGAGCTCACTCAAAGAATTTTCAGAAATTTAAGCAGAACTGAAGTAAGGCTTATCGGGCGATAGTTGGTTTTCTCAATCCTCCAGCCAATTTGTGATGTGGAATGTTTCGAATGAAATGGGCTATAACTTGTTCTCACTGATAGGGTGAATATGCTCTGCAGTAGGACACGAATATCAAGGCCACAATATCGTAAGAGGGCTGCGATAGTGCCGTAGAAAGACAACTGCAAATAGCCTACTTGTTTTTGTTAAGATTAGGTTCTACCGTCCTGAAAACATCGGTCGAACGTAATGTAGGTGAAACAGTTGGCATTGCGTCAGTACAGGATGAAGAGAATTGCTTTTTGAAACAAATGCAAATCATCATGAGATCTTCGTTTGGTGTGAATCCATACAGAACCAAAGAGATGACACTGAGGCATTGGAATCTCCGTTTTTTAATCAGCACAACAGTGTTATTGTCCGCTTGGGCTTGAGAGAATTCGGCGTTCTTCAAAACGCGCCTTTCAGCTTGACGAGCCTGCAAGTCGTGAACATTTAATGCATAATGGTAAAAACTATGAGTTTCCTTGTAGACATGCAGCAATCTGCACATTTTCCGTTTTGTAGCGGTGGGAAATGCTGCTTAATATATTTCGTAAGTGCTTCTTTAGTCCCATAAGAGCAAATAACTTCATCCATTCCGATAGGTTTAAAATGTTACTTCGGAGTCGCATGCAAGAGTCTATCACAATGATTGGACCCTAGCAACAACTAGAATATTTCACAGTCAAGTAAGCGATATTGTCGGTAAAGCACGCCGCGAAACGTTGCGCTTATCATTTCTTGCACGTAAACTGAAGTCGAATGCCAGAAAGCTGCGATCACTATCCGGAAAGCTATCTAATATAGTGGCGCTCAAAGTGAAGATAAAACCAAGGATGCTGCTGGTCCTCATCGTACACACATCTTGAGCCCGACTTTGTGGACAAATGTTGGAGACAGATTTGAGTAGCTTATTTGGTGAGATGTAAGACTGGCAGTTTCTTGCTGGCATATTGAAGTCGCCTGCGAAAACCTATGGTTTGCGGAGTGCTCCGACATGTTGTTGGTTATGTTAGCAAGTTGGCAAATGCTGATATTACCGCAGCGTGACAATAACCGAATGCAGTGCTCAAGCGTTGGTTCCGACAAAGGTGTGGAATGTAAGTTTCCATAAATAAATAAATAAATATGTATAGTCATGGTGATTGCATAGATGAGCGGTTTAACTCGGTGCCAACGTTATGTTACTGAAATTGTGAACTTCAACCTGACCGTTCTACGGGATTGCTCAAGCGTTAGCCTTTCGTCTGTAACACGTTTTCACCCCACAGCTATAACGCTTTCCTTGCACAACACATTAGTACACACAATTCAGAGGTTTAATGATACATACAAGATGAAATAAAGTACAAAAGTACAGATGCATCAAAAGTACTGACAAAAGTTGCGGTGGCAGCCAAATGTAAACAGAGGACGTTTGCCACACCAGACTGCAGGTAAATTCATGGTGTTGATTATTCTTCATGTGCAATTACGCGTAAACTTCGGATTGCTGCCTGTCCATTCACATTGGGTGATGACCAGCGTTCCAAGCACGCCCCCATGTATCGCAGGCCACCGCCACTTTATGAGGAGATTTGTAGCCACACATCCTGGATCAATTACACTTGTGCAATTGTGTCATCGTTTGAAACCGTGTGGTCAACTGCAACAACAGAGTAATACATGATCACAATTACGAGGAATGTTCGTCAAATAGCAATAAGAACAATATTAATAAAAATAATGAAACATAGAACATCCAGCTGCGAGGTGCGCACTCCGAATTTGCACCAATGGCTAGGTTGTTTCTAACACATTACTCATCAGATATACGGTTGGATGTTATTTATAACCTATTTCAAAGTCATTTCAGCGGATTACGTGACAAGATAATCTGCCTACCGCTATTATAAAAGGCGGGTTCTGTACAGAGAAGTGCTGGAAAAGATGCAAAAGTGAAAGCTATCTTGCCCGGTGCAATCGCAACAAAAATAGTGGAGGATACGAACAATGAGTGGATCTGTCTGGCAAGCTGCACGCATAATTGACCACAGTACGGAATGTATCTTTTGGGGAATCATGGGGTGCGTGTGCTAAACACGTATCATCACGATTCGTCGCAGTCCGACAGCCACCACACATCCAGTAAAGCACTAGATGGCCGTCTCGTCCTATGAAGATTCGTCAGTAGCACGTAGCCGCTGAATCCTACCGGATTTGAACCCCTGACTTTACTGTTGCAGGCCAGAGACATATGCCACTGAGCCATGGGAAAGCGATCGCAATGTTTGATACCTAACTGCGATATAGCGCGGTTCATCCTCCACGGTCATGCACGTTAGGAACGTGCAGAGGACAGGACTTCCTTCGCTATCTCGCAGTTAGATATCAACCATGGCGGTCCGCTACCGTCGCCTATGGCTCAGTGACATAAGCCGCTGGCTCGCAAGAAACTGGTCGTGGATTGGAATCTGGCAGGATTCGGCGGGTACGCGCTACTAACGAGTCCCCATAGGAAGAAACGGCAGTCTAGCGCTTTCTTGGATTGTGGTGGCCGTCTGACTGAGTCTAGCTGCGACGAAGCTTCCGAAAAACGGAATGAATCCCTCTACTACTTACCCGTATCTCCCAGGCTGGAATGGTCTTGACAGGACAGTGAGGATACAAAGCTCTTCTTCATTTTATATGAACATCTACAGTGGCGACAACTATGCGCAGATCGGTTTCGGATGCGTCGATCAGGATTGCTTTAACCCAATTCAAAAACGCACGAGGAGTGAGACAGCTGAGGCTGCTCAACGACTGTACAGCAGTGCAAATTTATTCCCGTGTCCCTAGGGTGCAGAGGAATGCGAGGTAAACTGGTAATGCCAGCTCCATTGTCTCAGTTAGCCTTATCTGACGTCATTGGAGGTAACACGTGCAACCTACAAACAGTCCGACTGGTTTGCTGACCAAGCCGTAGCTATGAACGCGTAGGTAGGGGAATAGAAGTAAGCGGGAATCGCTGCCTGCGTGGCATGTTTCCCGTGACGCACGAACATGGAAAGCAAAGAAAAACAACCGCACATCATTTCTAGTTTTTTGTCTTCCTCAAGAATTCGGCACAAAACAGCCAAATTAAAACTACAATACTCATAGAGCATCCGTTGTTAGGCTTTGGGATATATGTACAAACATCTCGCGCCATCCACATTCCATTTCTTCGGTCCCCAGCCGGAAAGACGTGTAGGACAAACCCTGCCCAAATATCCCACTGACGATACTAGTACGATTAGCTGCCACCTTCAGCTGCACGCAAGTGAGTTTTCTCTATTTCGCATTCGCCACTCAGTGTTCACAAAAACGGTTAAGGGATAATATTGCAAAGCCTTCTGTCCCAACCGTTTTCTACTCCGTGTAAATGGTCCAGGTT